CAGCACCTCAGCCCGGCCGGCAGCGCCCATTGTGCCCGCTGCAGAGGTGGATCAGGTGTCTTCCAAACAGGGGAGGGGACGCCCCAAGGGAGGTGCTGTCGTGGCGACCGTGGCCACCTTTGTTGGGCAAAACCGTGCTGGGATATACATTCCTAGAGGAACCAACGGCACAAGGTGGTTCTGTGTGTTGTGTTAGATGGAGGTGAATGTGTATTCAGGCAGCTACAGCCGCAAACGTCACTTGGAGGCCCATGAGCGGTCGCACCCGAAGGCTCACCTGGAGCACATGCCCGGCGAAACCAAGCTGCCATGTCCTGGCGTGTCCATCGGCAGTGGCTCAGCAATGGATAGCTTCGCAGACTCCTTCAACCGGTGGGTGCAGGCCGGCTGCCTGCAGTGCAAGGAGGAGCTGAAAGGCTGTCGCTTTGCCTGGAGCAAGGACGTTGTTGTGATGCATCATGAGGCGTGTCACGGGCTCGCAAATGACGGCGAGGCCTGTGCAAAGTCCTACAAGCATGCGAACAACAAGGAGATGGTCGCCCATGTGGCATTGTGGTCCTGGCGAATCGAGATGGTGAGGTATGCAAACCTCCTCTGCTTTGGAAGCCAGGCGGACAGCCGGCGTGCTCTCGACGACCTCTGGCAGCAGGACTTCGCAGTTTCACCCAAAGCGAGGCCGGTTTCCGGGTTCTAGGTGCTTGCTCAGTCTCTTGCCTGTGCGATGCTGCATGTCTGAGATGTGGGCGTCAGAGTCTCTGCTAGGACCGAGATGGAGCTGGTGTTGCGAAGGGAAGCGGCTGGCCAGCTCATGTTGATCAAGAGGACCCTGGGCTCCATTCCCACGAGCCGCCGTACGAGCCGACTCCATTGCTGGATCACCGCCTCGGTGCAGTCGCTCCCCGACCACCAGCATGTCAAGGACGAACAGCAGGCGATATACAAGAGCCTATGTCATGGCTTCTTGGATGCCGTGGGCCCAACGACCGAAGCGAGGAAGCAGGACTTTCAGCTGGCGGCTGCAGTGGCCTCGGGAAAGATCGCGGGCAACAAAGCCATCAACTTCCTCTTCCACAGCTTCCTCATGAAGGAGGAGAAGCAGCGCCGAGGGCTTCAGAGGACGAATCGCACTCCCGACGAGGACTCCTGTGAGGCCTGCATGTAGGGGTGTTTCGTGTTGTGTCTAGCCTGCCGGGTTCTCCCTTCTACATATCACTCATGTCTCCCCTGCCTTCCCCATAGGAGACAGCTTCAGAACTCTTATTTATGCTTGGTAATGGGGCTGGAGCGCGGGAGAGCTTCAAGGCCTTCGGCGTCAACCTGCCGAAAGGCAGCCACCTGAACTTTGATTCGGCCTTGGTGCCTCAGCCGTACCTCAGCATCCAGGACAATGATCGCTGTTTCTTGAACGTGAAACAGGCCCTGACATTGCTCCGGGTGCAAGGCAGCCGAAGTGTCTTCGTAGCCCTCGACGAGACTTACTTTCGTCCCACCTACGAGCAGGTCTCAGGACTGTTGCGCAATGAGGACAACCAAGCCGTGGTGGTGGGCGGTGGCTTCTCGGAGGAGCCGGAAAACAGTTTTGCCGAGCTCCGTGGCGACTTACGAGGCCTTCCACAGTCCAAGCTGGCTCGCATGACGGTTCATGCAGTGCTTTGCCGAACAGACTGCCACAACCAGAGCTGGGATGTTTCCTGCACTCCCATCATGCCTGGTTCCTCGGGCGAGGCAGGGCAGAAGGCTGGCTTGTTCGTCAAGATCCTGGGTCAGGTCATGGCCGGCATCACTCGGGAGACAGGTCTCCCGCCACTGGGATACGCCATCGGTGGAGGAGTCTCCAACCACTTGGCGAGGAAACTGGCACTGGGACTGGAGCCACTCGCTGATTACGCCGAGATCGAGTTCTTCTGCCACTGCGAGCATGTCCCATGCAAGCTGGGGCCGTATGTGCCCTTCTCGCTCCTCACTCACAAGCCCTCGGGCGAAGTCGTGCTCTGCTCGCTCGATTCCTTGCACGTGCTGCTGGGTTGTCCCTTTCGGATCCTTTCTTAATCTACCCTACTCTGTTGTAGAGAACCATATAATAATAAATAAGAGCTTAAAGGACAGCCCAGGCTAAAGCGCTGGACCGTTCAGCATCAGAACGGGACTCGGACAGTGGCTTGGGGTGCGAGCCACTCCGACTTCACGACGGCATTGGCACATGGGCTCGGACACAAAGCCTATTGCCTTAAAGACGAGATGTCGGACAAAGACGCTGCTGAAAGAGTCAATCCAGCTCACTTGCGGACCAGCTGGAGCAGTTTCGGCGCACGCATGTGTGCCCTCACAGCCTGGCTTTTGCTGCAGGCTTGGGAATCAGGCGGAACACTGACAGCGACACAAAGATTCCGAGCCGCTGGTACGGCGTATTTTCTCGTGCTGATGAACTTGCAGCATGTGCAGCTTGTGTATGGCAAGCAATGGGAGACCTTCGCTTTGCCTACCACGACACTGAGAAACTACCTTCACGCCGCCTACTTTGGACTGCTTCTGTGTTTGTTCCCAGGCAAGGAGGGCCGGGACAGTGTGCGATCCAACAGCTACGCTGAGAAGATATGCGAACATTACTTTTCCAGGCTCAAGAGTTGGTTTCGTGGCACACCTTCGGTGGCACAAGCCTTATGGGCAACTCACAGATGCCACCTGGAACAGCTGAGGAATCCAATGTCTGCGCCGGAAGCTTCTTACAGCCGTGTCGCGATGAAGGATGCAGCTGCTCTGATGCAGGAATGCTTCGAGGAAGCGGCGCTCACGATGTCATGGATCACGGTCGGCCGCTCCCCCTCGGCTATCAAGGCCGACTTCGCAGCTTGGTACAAGTCCGAGGGCAAGAAGCTGCTCACACAGGGGTTGGAGGAGCACGATGCCGAGGATTGTGTCGAGAGTGACGCAGAAGAGATCGACGACAACCAGGAGGAGCCCACCGCAGACCAGCTCGTGCTGGAGAGTCTCGAGGACCATGCAGCCAACAAGCAGCAGGTGGAGCACCTCTTGAACAACATCGCCGAGACCGCCGAGCCTGCCGAGACTGAGATTGCAGGCCCTCCCGAGGCCCAAGTGGTCGTCGCCGCTGCTGCAGGCCCTTCCGATGCCCAGGTGGTCGTGCCCGCTCCTGATGCAGGCCCTTCCGATGGTCAAGTGGTCGTCGCCGCTGCTCTTCAGAGTGCTGGTGGCAGCAGTGACTCTTCCAAGCCGAAAACGTGGCATGACCTCGTGCTCAAGCTCAAAACTCTTAAGGAGGAAGAGGAGTCCGCAGTTCTCCTTGGCAGCTGCTTGGCCAGGCATGCCTTGCTCACTCCCAGAATCCGTGCTTTGTCTGCTTTGGACAGTGGCTTGCTCAGCATCGCGGCAGTCAGAGGCACTGCTCACAGATGCCAGTCCAGCTGGCACGAGCAGGTGCACGAGCTCGCTTTGGCTCGAGAGGCATCGCTCAGCTCTGGAAATCGTCAATCCCGAGTTACGGCTTGGATGCGAGTGCAGGAGAATTGCCAGCAAGCTGCTGTGTATGAGGGCAAGGCAGGCGAGATGCTGCACAAGGCGACCCACGTGCGACCCCTGTTGGATGAATTGAATCCTCAGGTCCTCTTGTACCTCGTCGAGGATGGGACCGTCTGCTTGGGTGTGGCTACAACCGCGTTTCGCGGTGCCATCAAACAAAAACAAGCAAGGCCCTGGCTCCCGCAGAGTTCGAGTCAGCAAACCCTCTTTGCAGCCCCTGACGATTGCATCGTGCTCCAGGGTTCGGATTTTCAGGGCCCAGGGTGTCACCGGCAATCCACGCCAGTTTGCCGTGTGCACGGCCTCTTCTGTGGATCTGCTGGATCCGGTGGGCTCCGTGTTGGGCCAGATCGTCCCGACCAGCATCGGCTTCTCCGGCTTCCAGGATGCCGGCGTGCTCGTGCTGCGCTTCACTGCCGAGCAGATCGAGTCCATCGAGGCCGTCAAAGCTGCTCCCGAGAATTTCGTGTGCGAAGATGCCGCTGAGATTTCTGTGCCAGACGTGCAGCACGAGCTCTTCACTCACAGGAGCTTCCAGCCCACCGCCAAGGGCATCGAGAACCTCGTTCACTTCTTCGAGGCTTTGCCCAACTTGTATAAAGACAGGGGCTTCGACATATTGGAGGATGGCTGCTTCAAAGTCGATGGACAGCTGGTTCCGTGGGAGCAGCTGAAGCTTCAGGTGCCCGACTACTTTGATGTGATCAGCAACGGCTGCAGCAAGCTGCAGTACGGCAAGATCGTTTTGAACAAGCTGGTGGGAATCTCGGCCGAGCGAGGTGCAGAAGACATCCGGAGTTTGAGGCTCCTCGTCCGAGAGGTCCGAAAAACGGCACTGCCAGTGCCTGATACTCAGCTCTGCTTCGCTTGGCTGCTGCAGTGTTTTTTTCCTCCGCGGGCGCTGTCACCCCTTTTGAAAACTCTAGGTTGCAGACGTGACCTCCTCAAGGGAGGCTGTTCTTCTGCCAGAGCTCGCATCTCAGATCTGTGCAAGGAAGAGCCCTGAGTGAAATAAATCCGTCATACTTTTCGTTCTCTGCAGGTTGGAGTCACGACATCCTTATGGAAACGACTCTTGGAATTGCCACGACCTGAGCGGAAAGCCGTTGGAACCTCAAAGCTTTTTGTTTGGGGCAAGTGTGCGAATTCCGGCATCGAGGTCCGCGCTGGGGCCACCACGGGCCGCCGACCGTGGCAGTCGTTGAGAAGCTCGCGATGAAAAAATCCGGCCAGCATTGCAACTTCCGCTCAGTGATGTCCTGCATGTCGAGAGCGAGAGTGAGCGAGAGAGAGCGAAAGCGAGAGAGCGAGATGGTCTGGTGTGTGCGGTCCTGCAAGCTTTTGTGTGCACATGTTCCATGAGTAAGCATAGCAACGTACAAAATGGAATTTTCCATTTTGGACCCCCCCCCTAGCCAAACAGTGGGGGATCCCTAAACCCCCTTAAAGCCGCTGTGGAGCAGGAGGGGCTCCTGGCAAGGCGCCTGCTGGGGGCCGCAGCGGCCCACCTGGCGGTGCAGAGGCCGGGGGAAGCTCTGGTGGAGCTCCACGAAAACGCGGTGACGCTCGGCGGTTTAGGTTTGGGTAGACCGGGTAGACAGAAAAGCCTAGGCGTCTGGGTCTAGTCTAGGGTTTAGGGTTTAGGGGTTTGGGGGTTCAGGGTTTAGGCGTTAAGGTTTAAGAGTTTGGGGGGGTGGGAGAGGCCTTAAGCTTCGGCCCCAACGAAGTCCGTTCTGCGGCCTAGGATTGTGACCCCACAACATGGCATCAGTGACGAAGAGAAGAGTGGCGGCTTTTCTTCCATCTCGGCGTCTCGGTCGGCGCCATATTGCGTTGTGTGGTGGTATATGCCGTACTATATTCTCTACATTTTGGTATTTCCCACTCTTCTATCCTATTCTGACCCGTTCTGTTCTCTTCTCCACTTTTTCTTTCTACTGATCTTGTACGATATTATGTTATTGAAAGCAGAAAGGCCTGCCATCACTACTCCAAAGCAGTTTTGACAAGGCCGAGAGCTTCATCATGGAGAGCGACATCAAAGACACCGTGCTTACACGGAACTACATGATGCAGATGCTTACGGAGCGCAGCGTCTTAGAGGAGATCCAATCAGACAGCTTCCTGGTAGCAGCCTTTGTTCGTTTTTGGCTGCTAAACCCCCACAACCTGAACCCTAAAACCCTTGGTGCTTGTAGACTCCCGCCTCCGTCATGCCAGCAATAGCATAGCATGGCTGACGAGCTTTCATTCATCGAAGGAATGCTGATCGGGGCGAAGCAACTTCTTTGCAAGTATGCCGCTCGAAGGCATTTAGCGGCTTTGGCTGGCTGTTTTACCGAGTCCCAAAATCCCAAGGTCTTCAAGCCATTCCAGGCCATGAAACCCGAAAGCCTGAGAGGCCTAAAAGCGTGCATGTTGTAATTCTAGTAGCTCTAGTATCATGTCAGCGAAAGCCTTCGAGAACTCAGACCTTCAGCCCCGAACCTTTGGACGAGTTAGACCCCATACAGCCGGAGCCCTCAAACCTACCTTAATCTGCTGGAGCCGACGTTTTTGGTAGGGTCCGGATATAAACTCCTGCTTAGAACTTATGAGAGCCCTACAAAAACTGAGGCTCTTTCAGGTTGAGGCTAGTCATGCCCGGAGACGTAGAAGAACCCAGAAAGGAGCCCTTCACGGAACCCTCAAAGTTCTTAACGGAACCCTCAAAGTCCTTAAAGGAACCCTCAAAGTTCTTAAAGGAACCCTCAAAGTTCTTAAAGGAACCCTCAAAGGCTCCCTTTCAATTCGGCTCTGGCTCTTGAGCTTTGAGGCCTACTGCGGTGGCGTCTGGATGGAAGTCGCGTTGAAACTGAGCTCCGCGTGCCTCGTTTCCGTGGCTCGCCTGAACCCAGAAAGCCATAAAACACCGCCGAAGGGTTCAGAGTTTAAGGGAGCCCTACACCCTAAAGCGGCCACCCCGTGGAGTCAGGTCGTCTCGTCGAGGGATGGCCTCTGGCTGTCCGTGGCAATCACCTTCGGAATGGCTGTGATCGTCGGCAGCGTCCGCCCCTTTGCGCAGCCCCAGGCAGGAAGCGGGAGGTTGAGATTCTGGAAAGAATGGACATTGACTTGCACCTCAGCCTCCTTGTAATTGTAGTAACTTTTATCGTCACCGTGATAGCAGAACTTGAAGCATCCCCCAAAGAAATAACCCTTGTCCTGTCGCAGCCCGCAGCCCTTGTCGCAACTGTTGAGGCAAACCCGTATAGTCGCCTTATACGGCAGGTGAACACGCTCCAGAGCTTCAGCTTCTGTTGTGCCTCGGCCGACTTTCGGGAAGGACCGACCCTTGAATGGGGAGGGTGCGGGGCTTGAGGTTTTGGGTTTGGGATTTAGGGCTTAGGGTATTGGCAACTGGGCTTTGGGGTTAAAGGCTTAGCGCTCAGGGTTTGGACCTGTTTAGGCTTTGGGGTTTGGAAGGTTGCGACTCATAAGAGAGTTTTCCTCGCAAAACATATTCTCTTAGATCCCTGAAGCATAGATTCCGACGGGTCTGATGGCAGTCAGTGATCGCCGCAGAGCAAAAGGAAGTATGGAGGTCTTAAGAAATGTGCCAGAGTTTTCGGGTACGTTGTACAGCTATTCTATATGTATATTTATATACACACACATACATGCATATAGATAGATAGCTAGATAGATAGACAAACGACAGAGAGAGAGATAGATAGATAAACAGATAGATAGAGATCTAGATCTAGGTGTAGGTCTAGATCTAGATATGGAGTGAGGGTTTATGGGAGCTCTGTCGAGGGGAAAACTTTCTCCCAGGCCTGGCTCTCGCCGCAGTGGGCTTCGCGCACCGCTGGACCTCTCTGACCCACCTGACCCTCTTGGTGCCATCCTCAGCAATCTCGGGGCTTCGGGTTTAAGGTTTACGATTTTGGGCGAGGGGTTTGTTGTTTTGGGATTACGGATTTAAGTTTGGGGCTTAGGGTTTAGGGTGTCGCAGAAGCTGGTTGTGTTTGTTTTGTGGTGGGAGGAGGGCGAAGGAACTGATCACACGACGGTCATGTCAGCAGCTCTAGAGTCCTTTGTTGGACTTCGGTTTGCAGATATAGCTGAAAGGTGAAAATCAATTCCTTAAACCCCAAACCCTCAACCCCTGAAGTCCTAAACCGTTCCTGCTGGTTTGATTCCTTGATAAGACCCCCATCCTCCGGGAGCCCCTAAACCAGCTCCCCTTTCCCCGATTCCTGTTGAGGAATTAGATCTAAGCTGCCATGATAGGGATCTATGGTAAGTACTATGGCTTCCTTCTTAGCAGCTTTTACTAGTACAGGGGATCTACTCTAAAAATACTGATTACTGTGGTTCCCCTGTTATGGTAACCGTTTTTTTTTTTCAAGCGTGTTGTGATTTTGTTGGTATTATGGTAGCTTAAACCAAACCAAGTGGCTTAGCCAGAGCTCGGATTCGAGCCCCGAGGCGCCGGTGGTGCTGACGGCTCTTCAACTTCTGCGCCCGGACTCCCCGGAAGTTTTGGCCCTGCGGCTTCAGCAGGAGTGGCTTAGGGGTTTTAGGAGTTTTAGGGGCTTAGGGTTTGGGGGTTTTGGGTTTCGGAAAAACCATGACAGGTCATGGAAGCCACCAGGTAGCCATGTCTAGAGAAAGGTGCAAGACATACCCCGAGGTCACACGGGAGAAGGTGCATTCTGCCACCATCTGTGTGCACCATGCCATGGCCCGTGCTCTTGCTTGCGTTCTTGTATGCAGAGCTTTTGCCGAGCCACCGAAGCAATCAGGCCTGGCTTTTGTGGAGACTTCGATTTGTTTCGCAAGGCGATTCCCCCGCCCTTCACCTTTGTCTGTAGGGAAATTATCAGTATAGGTGAGAAATTGGATCCACGCTCACCCGCACCTTGGATCTTTGGGTGTCTGACACAAGAGAACGCCATCAGGCTCTTCTCGTTTTCTCTTCTTTTCTTGATTCTGCCTCCTTTCCGTTCGCTGCAGCTTCAGACAAACATTGCACCTTAATTCTTCATTGAACATTCGTGCACCCCGGTGCATGTCTATGTCTACCATGGTAATTATGTAGCATGTAGTTACAGTGGAAGTGAATGATCTTGGGTGTCTTTGTTGGCAGGAGCTGGCGAAGCAGATCGATGCCTTGCGGCGTGGTGAGAGTGCGAGAGTCTGCGCGGAAGAAGTGCGCCTCCTGTAATAAAGAGGTCTGAGTACATGCTAAAATATTCTTTTGAAGGTTCCAGATTTTGGATCGACTCTACTTGCCCAGAGCCGTATTCAGGCCCGATATTCGCCTTCTGCGGAGCAGAGGCTATGAGCATCAGACCGACAACAGCCAGCCACCCGCTGTGGCAGGAGCAAAGCCGTGCAACTTCCGTGCAACTTCCGAGCAAAAGAGGCAAGATGAAAGAAGACGCGATGGCTTACTCGTTGACCAAGTTCCGTCGATCTTTCCAGCTCTTCTCAACCCCGCTCGCTTCGCTTTTCAATGTCTTCCGCCTGTCACGTCGCTGTTGGCGTGGCGTGCAAACCTCCTCCGTGAAATCGCAGACTCTGTCCGAACTTGTCGGTCGGCTGGGCGGTGCTTCTAAGTCACATCACCGTTACATTTTCAGGGTTGCTATAAGGGTTCCTTCAAGGCTCCTTAGGGGTTAGATCAAGCTCCGCCTGAACCTTGTCGTGCTCGGTCTTGTCGTCGTAGCGGCAGTGGGGGTACTTGGAGGCACAGTGGAAAGTGATCATCCTCATACGGCCGCATGCTCTCTTCACAGCTTCTTTGCCTGAGCAGCTGAGTATACCCGTCATGGCAACCCTTGTAGCAACCTGCACTTCTTGTAACCCTTCTAGGAACCCTTATTGGAGTTTCCGAGAAATAGGGCGGCCCTAGTATAGCACCCTAAATAGTATAGGATCCTCATTTTAAGGACCAAAATAAGGCACCCCCAGTTTTCGGAAAGTCCCTGATCAAGTAACCTTTAAGGAGCCTTAGGGCCACATCGGGAGGTCTCGGCGTCGAACCCTTCTGCTGCGCCGTATGCTTCAGGGCGCGCGAGCGTGCAAAAGCTGCCTGCATGTTTGCAATCCAAGTGGTGCTCGTTCTGCACACCTGGGGCGTTTGCCCGGTACATGCCCAGTTGCAGGCTTTACTCTGCATGCTCGTCATTGTTTCCGTTTCTTTACGACGGTCAGTTCGGCTCATGGACAGATCCGTCACGGTCCTCAGCACACTGTCAGCAGTAAAACGCAAGATGTTGAAGCCGTTCGTACGCATTGTTTCCGTGTTCGGTGGCAGAGATGTCTCAGGAGCACTGGAGAAGCTAGGACAGCCAGGGTTGAGGTTCATATGAACTGGGCTAAGCCTTACCTTTGGTCAGTAGGGAATGGAGGAATGGGGTACAATTATAACTACTATTACTACCATTCTTCCCTTCCCTACTAACCAAAGGTAAGTCTTAGCTTAAACCTGAAGCTTGAGCCGTAGAGAACCCCTATCAAACTAATCGAACCCATTCCCTGCTAACCAAAGGTAAGAAGCACTCGTTCGCAAGAGATGTGGAACTCGCTGGGCCGGCCTTTGCGGGCTCTTCGTTCTGCCGAGGCCAAGGCGGCTGGTCCAAGGATTTTGTAAGAGTGACGACAGGGTTTAGGGCCTTTAGGGTTTACGGTTTAGGGTTTAGGGTTCTATGCTGTGGGTTGGGTTATTGAGCAACCAGTGATAGGAATTGCAAAGGCCCAACTGTCCTGGAAGCCCATGTTGGCTTGCCTAAACCAAGACGTAAGTCTAGAAACAAGGTCCTAAGCATTCAGTACAAACTCCAAGCGGGATTCAGGATTTAGGTTTCAGGATATGGCTTTTCTTGGGCTTAGGGATCCACGGCTTGGGGATCAGGTTCGGATCCAAGGTTCAGGGTAGTTGTAACGCAAGTACTCGTAGCTGCACCTCTGAGAATCCAGCATGCTGGCTGCCTGTCTGCCTATAGGGTTATAAGTTATGAGTAAGTTCGACCTCCATGCTTATCTCTCGCATTCGGAGTTTAGGGTGTCAGGTTGAGGTTGAGGCGAACTTGCATCGTTCGGATCCTCAGACACTGCAAAGAAGGCGCAGCGTGGTGCTGCAGGTAGCCGGCTGCTTTTCATGCAAAACTAGGTAGACCACTTGCGGTTCGTATGGGGACTTACGTAGCGGCTGCTATGATGATTTTCGAGCATTTGAGTTCGGGTTTCAGTCGGGTGCATGGGTCGTGAGGCTCGGGGATTGAAATTGAGGGTTCGGGGTTTCGGGAATTTTCGAGCCTCGCTCTGAAGGTGAGGATGCTCGGAACCTGATCGTCGCCCTCGAGGGATGTCTTGAGGCTCAGATTTCTTTCCTCTGCTTCCGGAATGTCCGTCGCGAATCGTGAGGAGCGTGGGCCTTAAGGGTGTGCCTAGAGGTGCGCGCGCTGCTTTAGGGAGGCGAAACGCGAGATTTCTGGGGATTGAGGGGTTTCAGAACTAAGCAGCTACCTGCCGGGCGTAGATTCGCAGATTCAATCAAGATGCGCGCGCTGCCACATGCACGGTCACGCGATTTCGCACCATTTCCCGTGCTTCTCCAAGGCCTGGGCTCAGGCTCATGGCATCCGCAGTTTGTTCAATCCTTCCTTCCATATCTCGCACCTCATGGCTCTCCGTGGTGTGCCTGGTCCTGGCCTTGGGCCCGAGCTTCTGCGTGCGCCCTGAGATCTTCGCAGAGCTCCCGCCGAGTGCGGGCGTTTCTTGCCTGCATCTCTCCCTTCTGGCTGCCTGAGGTAAGGCTAGTGTAGCGGGAAACAGGAGCAGGTCGAGGGTTGAGGCTTTGTGACCTTGTGGCTTCAGAGCTGTTACAGGGAAGCCGTCCGAAGCTTTTGAAGCTTCCTTGGAGCTCGCCGTCTCAAATCCCAAGACTCCACAAGCTCAGGACGATGGACACCAAAGACACCAAAAGGACGCATGGAGGTCCGCCTTGGCCCCTTCCGCCCGAGGCTCAGGTCTGCAAGGGCCTGCGAAGATCGAAGGATTTAGGCAAGCTTCTACCTGATTGGAGGGCTTCAGGGTCTGAGGGCCGAGGATTTAGGGCTGTTTTTAGTGAAGGGCTTTCCTTGGCTCAGTCTGCGTAGGGCGTAGGGTTTTCGGTTCAGGATAGTGGTAGGCATGGACTTGCGTGTGGACCGAGGAACTCGAAATCCAGAAGTCCGAGCATCTGCAGCTTCCCGTCGAGGCTCCAGCTTCCCCATGTTCCGAGCTTCCAAACCCTGATCCCCAAGCCCTAAACGCTAAACCAGAAATCCTAGCCTTCCTGGAGCTTAGAGCCCAAACCCTTTAAGCCTTGTGAATACTAAAATCTTAAACCCCTGTACTTGTCGTTTCCCCAGCCGGACCCGAAAACCGATATATACTGAAGGTGGTCCACAAGACCACATGTTAGCAGAAGCCCTTAAAGGAGCCAGCACAAAGGAGCCCATAGGACACCTGTTTTTTTGTAGTGCACGATTCGACTAGATCATGCTGCACGCCATTGGCTTGGAGGCTCATAGTGTACATGACCAGTTCCAGAGGGCAGAACAGACCCCTGTAGTTCCCCTTAAAGTGGACCCCATCATAGAACCCTAAAGCACCCCTTAACTTGAGAACCCTACAGCAGCCCTTGCAGGAGATCCCATCATAGAACCCTACAGTACCCAAGAGCAGACCCGCGATTCTCAGGAGGAGCCCGCTGCGTCGTCCGAGCCGCTACCAGCCCGGGGGCCCAGTACCGTGCGCCATGTGCCAGCCAGAGAGCGGGGTTCAGGGCTTAGGGAGGCTTAGGGAGGTTTAGGGTCTGGGGTGTATTTTTCCTTAAGATTCCCTAAATGATATCAGGGATTCCCTTTAGCCTTTGATGGATGGGCGATGTACGGGGCTCTGGTGCTATGTTGTATTCAACTGAGTCTACACTGAAAATCCCTTGATCCCTAGACCTAAGCCCTAAACCCTACCTGGGGCCAGGGAAGCAATGGTTTCGAGCCCAAGGGCACGAGTGAGAAGTTGCCAGCTCCCAAACCTATTAAGTCAGAGCATTAATAAAGTCATATGGTTCAAGTGTTATGGCATCATTGTCTTAATATTGTGGTAGTTAGTATCGACGAGAGTAGTATTCTTGTCAGACCAAGTGCCTGGCGTTTAGTTACACTGAGCAGGGCGAGAACCGGCATGTTGGATCTCTCGTAGTTGCCAAAGAGCTTACATACGGCTGTTTGTCTACGTTCACCGTGCTCTGCGGAATTAGGAAGGAAGTGCAGCCCCGCGATTCTGAGGAGGCAGCTGCCGCGTCTTCCGAGCCGCTGCCGGTCGGGGGCTTGGTCCGGTACCACCTCAGTGTCAGCTTGTTCTCATAGCTCGGCTACTTTTTTCAATTTCACTGTATTCCATTTGTAAAGCGAGCGTCTGCTGCATATCCGTCCTGGGCCCGTAGATTCTACGGGCCCAGGTCAGGCGTACTTGTGCGACGTAGAAGTGCCAGCTCCAGAGTCAAGACTTTTCCGCTTTGGAGGCCAGATCCAGCAGCCACGAGACGGAGACCGTGGACTCTCCGGACTGCGCCTGGCTCTGCAGAAGCAGCCCTCTGTTTCGAATCTTGAAGAGTGCAAGCGGAATGCTCTGCTCTACTGTGGTCGTGTTTTGGAGGCTTTCGACCCTGAGCCCAGGCACCGGAGACTTTAAGGCCCTCGCGGAGCTCGGGATCCGCGGAGAGGGCGCTCTCTGCTCCTGGCCGGGCATCCGCTGTGACAACAGCTGCGTGATTGAGATCACTCGCCACGATGCGAAGGGCTACGTGGATGCCGTTGCATCCCTGCGGCAACTCCAACGTTTGGATCTCTCTAACTCAAACGTCGAGGGGGACCTCTTCAAGCTGGAGTCTCTGTGTCAACTCCATCACCTAGATCTCTCCCACACACGTGTCATTGGCCATTATGGACAGCTCAAGGTCCTACACTGCATGCAGCAACTCCATCACCTGGGCCTTTCCAGTCTATCTGTCCATGGGCAGCTCGATCAGTTGCGCGATCTGCAGCAGCTCAAGCATCTGGACCTCTCGCGGACAGAGGTCTTCGGCCGCCTGGAGGACTTGGGGAATCGGAGTGGGCTGGAGGTCCTAGGCCTGGCGAAAGCCAACATCAGTGGCCAGCTTGCGAACCTGTC